GCTACTTGTGAAATAGAGGCAGGGGAGCATAACTGGCAAACAGAATTATGAACAGAAGGTCAGAGGTAACGCTAAGGAAAAGGTGAGGTCAGTGAGAAACAGTTCCCGTTGTTCAGGACCACTATGGTCTGTTTGATCACTTCACTCTCTCAGGGCTGTGGAAGTTCTGTGTTTCTAGCATACCTTCACTTTCCAGAGTGTAAATGAGTCTACAGGTGGATACTTCGAAGTTTAGATCTTGTCCTGTGGTTGGTTTCTGTCAGCAGCATTTTGTGGCTTGGGAAACAATGATACAGCCTTATAAGAGAAACACTGAGTGTAGTCCAGACTTTCTTTAAGCAACAAATTCTCTCTAGTTAATATATAGATCTGAGCTTGTCTGAAATCTAAAAATACACGGTTCCACAATTCTGAGCTATTCTGTCACCTATGCTTATTCCAGATTTTAGATATCTGAGCCAACTTCTTTCTTACCATAACTTCGGTGAGAGTTTTGCTGGGTGGCTCTGGCCTGCTGAAACAAGACTGAGAAGTGTCTAATCAATGCATTATAGTGTGTTGCTTTACAGCCTAAAACATTACATTAAGACATTAAACTATAGTCTTATCTATTGCTTGTGGTAGACAGATCATCATGGCTGTTATGGCTGATGCTGTGGTAAAAATAGGCTTTGCTGTTGAAGGCTGTATGGAGATTATAGCTATATGCATTGTAACCGATGCATTTGTCCTTGCAGTTGTCAGCTTACCAGCCCAATCCATCATTCTGTACACTGCTTGGAGGTTATGCAGAGGCTAACAGGAGCAATCTGTTACCTGCTATAACTTTCTTTTGGGAGTGAGGTTTCACTCAAAGGAGGATGATTAAAGTTGGAAGGTACCTCTGGAATTGACTTGTCCAACTTTGCTGCTCAATGCAGGGTCAGCAAGAAGAGGTTACCCAGAGCCATTTCCAGTCAGGTTTTGAATATGTCCAAGGATGGAGACTCTGTAACATTTCTGAATATCTTCTTCAATTGTTAAATTGCCCTTAGATTAAGCAATATTTTTCTTGTCTTTAAATGCGATCTCTTATATTCCAATCTGTGCACATCACGTGTTGTCCTTTCATTAGATATCACTGTCTGCCTGTCTTGACTTGATACCCTTCCACAACATAAAAACATTGACAAAATCGTCTGTGAGCTTTCCCTTCTCCAACCTAGCTAATCCCAGTTTTCTCAGCCTCTCCTCATACATCAGATGTGTCAGCATGTTAATAATCTCTGTGGCTGTTTGCAGGACTCACTTTGGTAAGCTCATGTTTTTCTTGTGATGGAAAGTCCATTTGGCAAAAAAAGCATAGCTAATGCTTATGTTGAAAAACAGGTTTGTTGTTGAGAATCTTCTTTATCAAATAGTGTTATTGTGCTCTTTCTATCTGTTATGCTTTCGATGGAAATAAATAGAAGATGTTGCTTTCAGAGTGACCTACATAGGTCTTACTGCTGCCAGAAAACTCATATTAAATGATCTTCAGGTGACTGTGTTTCTGTTACGTTCAGGGTGTTGTATGGAAAGATGTGGAGATCAGAGTCTCTATTCTGCCATGGGATGACAGCAGAATTGATTCTTATCTTCATTTGACCATGGGTCTCTGTACTGATCCAGTAGCTATTTTAGTGTCCCTAATAAATCTACCAGTTAGTGTCACGTTCAGATCATTTATTTTTGTGTCCACGAAGAAACGGCCTAGTACTTGGGAATTCATTTCACGTGAATCTTTGAATCTCAGGCAGTCTATTGTAGAAATTGGTTTGAATATATTTTTTTATGAATCTGGACTTGAGTGAATCTGCCTCTTCCAGTCTTGCGTTGCAGTGAAATAAAATACCTGCTTGGCAACAGCTCTGTGAGTTAATAAAGTTTCCGTGGTAAACTATGAGAAGCCTGAGAATTTCAAACTAAAGTTATTGCGCCAGTAACTCAGAAAAGCAATTCCTAAAACTCCTGGCACATTTATCCAGAGGGTTAGCAGTAGCACAGAAATGGAAATCATTGTTGAGAGCCACTGCGTACTTGGAATTAAAATCCATCAGTCTTCTGAAACTGAGGAGAACAATTTTTGTGACATATAGATGCTTCTGTAGTTCATAACAAAAATTAGATCTATGGCTGTTTTCTATCCTATTTGTAGGGAAATTCATATCCTTAATCCTTGTAATATACTTAACTTGGGATGACATCAAAAGAAATAACGCATGCATAAAGAAGTTAGGCATTTAAACCACTTTCAATGCTTCATTTTATTTAATTTCAGTAAAAATGGAGTTAGCCATTTGGATGAGGGGGATTGGAAAGGAGAGGATGCTAAGCATCACCTTCTGAAGCTGGAACTTCAAGCATAGAAGTCGGAAGAATGTGGAGGATAGAAGATTCATAAAACTTAGCCTTATTGTTGGAATCGGAAGGGAGTGGAGAAAGAAACATAGTAAACCACAGGAAAAAAAAAAATCAAATTTCCTCAGATAAGAGTTGAACAGTTAGTATTGTCAGGGCTTTTTTGCAACCCTTGCTTAGGACTTATTTAGGTCTTTAACATACCTGTTGGCAGCTTCCTTGCCTGATGGGAATTTTGTCATATTGAACAGGGTGTTGTGACACTGCTGTGTTTCTACTGGGAAAAAGAATGTGTCTACTACTGCTGGGACGCAGAAAAGTCTCCTAGGTATTAGTGGTGTAGGGTTAGAGATTTTATATTGATCCTTGCTTGTAGCAGGCACAAATATTTGTTGGTGCAAATGGTTCAGTGAAGGAAGGACAGGGAGAGAGACACACATGAACACACACAACCCAATATGTAGTAGAATTATAGGAGTCACTTGATAAGGAAACATTTATGTTTCAAGAGGATAGTGTGAAAGGGTAACGAAAAATTTGTTGCCCTGACCCAATTACATTAACAAAAACCAGTATTCCTCAAAAATGCTCAATTTTAAGTATTTCAACTTAAGGAAACACAGCAAGTTTTTGTTCTCATCTTAAAATTTGCAGCTGAAGCAATGAAAGATGTTTTGTATGGGCTTATCTGTTGTCTTGTTTATCTCCAGTTACAGAATGCTAAGAGATGGGGTTTTTTGCTAGGTGCTGTTTTTTTCATAGAACAGAAAAGAAAAATGAAGAAGTAGATTAGTAATGACTTGAATGGATCCGCAGAGAATTTCTCATCTCTGTGTTTATGGTGAGTGACCAGGCAGCAGACAAGCTGGCATGAAATGGATGATGGTCATTCTGTAGCTGCTGAAGCTTCCTGTTGGAAGGCATCCCTTCACAAATGGTGCCATTAAGTGTTTTTACTGGCAGCCTGCGCACAGTTCAAAAAAAAAAGAAAAAGAAAAAGTTAAATGGGCCAGAGAGTATTACCATTGTTATTTTATTCCTGAAAATGGTCAAATATGTCAAGTTGGAAGGGACACAAGCATTGAGCCCAAGTTCTGGCTCCACACAGCACCACCCAAACCCTGTGGCTGAGAGTGCTGCCCCAATGCCCCCTGAGTTCTGCCACTGGAGCTGTGCTCACTGCGCAGCCTGTGCCATGCCCACTGCCTCTGGGGCAGAGCCTTTCCCTCACCTCCACATCCATTTCTGCAAGGCAGCTCTCCAGCTGCTCTCATCCCCCAGCCTGTACATATATCCAGGGCTACCCCATCCCAGGTACAGAATCTGGCACTGCTCTTTTTAAGCTTGTGCATTTGGTGACGGCACAGCTCTCTGATGTGTCTAGATCTCTCTGCAAGGCCTCCCTACCCTTGAGGCAGTCAGCAGCTCCTCCCAGTTCATGCATCATTTGTAAATTTACTTAGTACACATTTGAGGTCAATGGCTAGACCATTTATAAGAACACTGAGGAGAACTGGCCCTAAAAGGAGCTGTGGGGTAACCTTGCTAGTGTCTGGTCACCAATGTGACGTAACCCCGTTTAATGCAACTCTGTGAGCACGTCCCCTCAGCCAGTTGTTCACCTACTGCATGAAAGCTTTTCTAAAATCACAAACAATTACATCTTCTGACTTCCCTTGTTCAGCTAGGTGGGTAATCCTGTTGTAGAAGTAGTTTAAGTTGGTTAAACAGGACTTCCCCTTCGTGAACCCATACTGGCTGTCACTTTTGACTGCAATGTCTTTCATTTTTCGGTAACTCCTAGAATAATCTTCTCTATAGCATTACCAGACACTGAAGTGAGACTGACAGGCAGATAAGCATTACAGCACATTCAGGAAAAGACAGATATTTATGTTTTTAACTACCTATATTTAGACATGTCTTACTGGGTCCAAGAGTAGTCAGATGTTAAATCAGAGGTGATGTGTATGAACTGGTAACTGAGCATCTAGGTGCAGTTCTTGTGCTAGCTGGCAAGATGTCTCAGATGGAGCTGCAGAACCAGCTGATTAGGCAGTAGAAAATGGACATTAAAGAAAGCAAGCAAATTCTGTCCTCTCACATCTCAGAGAGTAAATTAAGCTAGGAGAAACGGTATGTTTTAGTTGCCGTGCTTCCTGTTACGTGAACCAGCAGTGCAGTGCAAGTCTTTCAGGCTGACTCATAACCTGAGTCTGACTGTAACAGCCTTTGCCAGCAAGGAGCAGGGGAAGTGATACTTAGGGGTATGCATGTGTGCTACAGATTTCACAGCTTGCTTTCCAAAGAAAATTAAACTTCCTTGAAACAGCAGGTGACATTTGCAAGAAGTTCAGGAGCAAAGCGTGACAGAAGAGCCGCCATTTAGCTGGGGTTTTCACATTTAGCTTTTTGGAAATCTTGGTGCTTAGAAGCTTGGTTTTGCAAAATTCCTGGGAGGGGAGTCCCTAATTGAGACGTACTGTGAGAGAATGATGGTGGGGCTATAGTATGAGTGGCTACGTGTGGAGCTGCTTCTCCGGAGGCTTTGGCCTTTGTAAAGTAGCCTTTCTTATCGCTCTTCTCCTTTGTTATTTCCTCTTGCTGCATGATGAGAGCAGATGGGTGCTGCTTCAAAGAAGAGTTGGACATATAGAGAAACCATTTCGGATCTCATTGGAGTACATTGCTAATGGGAACAAGAGCATAGCAGCTGTGGATTCCTTTGCAATGAAGAACTGCACTGCAGGTAATGTACCTTATTTTATTGTTTCTATCTTACAGTGTTTTGGTGTCTTTTTGGAGAGGAGCATAATTTCTGGCTGTTAAAGAACCTTTACGGAATTAATGACAGATCAGTCATTTAAACAAAAAGTAGGATACCTGCCAGGGAATAGTTTTGCTAATGTTGTATTAGAAGTTTTTAACCTCTGGAAAGAACCAAGATATTTTTTTCCTGTTTTGGAAAGAAATTCTAGAGAAATTCCGTTTTGGAAAACACAGATGAGTACTTTTTCTGGCTTGCCAGATGCACATCCTGACAACTCCACTTTCTGCAGCAGAAGGTAGAACAGATGAGTGGTGCCTAGAAAGATATCTTGCAAGCCATCTTATGGATGTTCCTGGTAATGATTTGAGTCTTTTTTTTTTTTTTTTTTTTTAACAACTATCATGAACTTGGTTTTATAAAATGCATGTTTTGTTGGAAATGTTCCAAAGGAGTTCTTGCGAAGTTACCCCTAAAAGAGCTCAATACAGGGCATGAAATTTTAGTAATGGACAATCTTAATGGGAGTTACCTTTTTAAATACAAGCTTAGTTATCAATGTAAGTATGTAAATTTAGTGCTTTGTGTCAGAGGCACCTGCGTTTTAGTTCTGCCATCTTTATGAGCTTGTGAATCATACTGAAATCTTTAGGTGCGTGTCGGTGAAGAATGTTATTACTTCTAGCACTTAACACATTACTTTTTGTCATTTTTATTTACTTGGAATACTGCAGAGCTACACGTCCTCCTTTTCAGCCTTCTAGAACAGGGGGACTTGTTGGAAAGTATATGTGGTTTTGGTTATTTACATTGCTCTTCACAATGGCAAGTTGTATTGAGAGGTTTATTGCACTGTCCATAAGTAAAGATGATCTCTAGGCTCTAACAGTGAATGGCTTGACTTTGTGGTGGAAGTGCAAGGCATATTGAGATAGAATGCACCTGCTTTCTGCTTACATACGAAACAAATCTTGATATCTCTGTGAGGATGAAAATGAAGTGTGGCAACTCTGCAAAACAAAGTAAATAGAACAGAAATCATTGAAATCCATAGTGTTTGGGAATACGTTGCAATGAGCTATGGGAGATGTTCAGTTGCTGTGAAAGTTCATAGATTTTTTTGCTTGGGAATGCCTGAAGGAGAGCCATCAATGATGGTTAGGTGAAAGACAGGCACTGTTTGCTGAGTGAAAGGTTAATGTTTTAGTGAGACTTTTGTTAGAAGCTTACACCAAGACAGGACGCGCAATCATAGAGTCACAAAATAGTTTGGTTTGGGAAGATCATCTAGTTGCAAATCCCTGCCATGGGCTGGTGTTTTGGTTTAAACCAGCAGGTGGCTAAACACCACACAGTCATTTGCTTGCTCCCCCCCCCTTCCCAGTGGGGAAGTAGGACTTGTGGGTCCTATTTACTAAGACAGAGAAAAGGAAAACAATAATTGTTATGACAAATGTGTGTGTGTGTGTATACATATATATGAATGTCTGTAACAAATGATGTTCAAGCAATTGCCCACCACCCACTGAGGCCCAGCTAGTCCTCAGACAGTGGAAGAGAGGAAGAACTCCCACTCTCTACAAAACTTTGCTTCTGCATGATGTCATATGGTATGGAATATCCCTTTGGCCAATCTTAAGTCAGCTGTCCCGATTCCATCCCCTCTGAGTTCTTGTCCTGCCACCCACCCCCAGCCCCTCACTAGTAGGAGCTGAGAAACTGGAATGGCCTTGACTCTGTACAGTACTGCTCAGCAGCAACTTGAAACATCAGTGTGCTATCAACATTATTTTTCTACTAAAACCAAAACATTGCATTATACCAGGCACTATGAAGAAAAACAGCTCTGCCCCAGCTGAAACAAAGACTAAGGTTTGGGTTGGAAATATCATAAAATATCATCCAGTTCCAAATCCCTGACAAGGGCTGAGACACTTTCCACTGTATCAGGTTGCTGAAAGTCCTTTCTAATCTGTACTAGAACACTTCCAGGGATGGAGCATTTCCAGCTTCTCTGAGGAACCTGCTACAGTGCCTCATCAGCTCACAGTGAACAATTTCTTTCTAATATTTAAACCTACTTTGTTTTGAAATCATTACCCCTTATCCTGTTATTACACTCTATCTTTCCTGTAGATTCACTTCAAGTACTGGAAGGCATAGGTAAGGTCTCCTTGGAACTACCTCTAGAGTAAATACATCCAACTCTCTCAGCCTGTTCCCATAGGAGAGATGCTCCAACCCTCAGAGCTGAACTTGATGCTCCAGGTGGATTCTCACAAAAGCAGAGGGAGAGAATTGCTGCTTTAGATCATTTAGATACACTTCTTCTGATGCAGCCCAGGCTATAATTGACTTTCTGGGCTGCAAGAGCATTTTGACAGCTCATATTCCGTTTTTTGTCAAGCAGTACCCTCCACATCTTTCTCTACAGGAGAAGCAGCAGTTCTGAAGATGACAGAATTCAGTTGCTGAGGCTGTTAATGTCTATTGTGAGCACAGAAGGACCAAACGTCTTTTCTTATCTACAGATTTTTAGCAGTTGGCTATTCTTCTACTCTGTTTACAGTACAAGGTATATAAATTATACCACTAGGAAATAAACCCTCATTGTTTTTTCCGTTAGCTGAAACTATTAAGAGTTATGCATGCAAGTAAATATGTGGTACTGTGCACACTTATTAGAAAGGAAGTAGTAATGGGAAAGCAAGGTAGCACCTGAGGCTTGGGAGACAGGGAAAGCTACATGAAAAGATTCATCTACATCTAATTTTTCTTTAGCTGTTTGAGGCTCTAGGGAGTTTAGCTAATAGGATACCTTGATGCCACTGAAGAGTCTAAAACATACATGAATTTGGGAAATAAACATCTGAGAAACAATAATAACCCTTCAGCCTGACTTTACTAAGCCTTTTAAAGACCTGTATACAGTCTAAAAACAAATTAAGGGGCCTTTTCTTAGGAAATTAGGCTGCTATTTTCATGGTTGAATATGGATTTGAATCTAAATTAGATGCTAATAGGGGCATGAATAAGGTGGAGGTTTGGGGTTGGAGTTTGCTTTAGAACATGGACAATTCCACTTTGTGAATTCTTTTATCAAGGGAAAAATAGGATTTTTGCATCAGAAGTGAAAAAAATAGAAGTATATTTGGAATGAAAATTAATAAATTAAAATTCTGGTGCTGATCCTGAAGCTTTCTATATTCCTAAACTCAAAAATTAAAGATTGAAATCCCATCCAGCTAAAAAATATTGATTAGAAATAGATTTCTACCTAATTCTCTATGCTTCCCTTTCTTTTTCATTCAACAGATGAGAAAATCAAAGTGATTTGTTACTTGAATATCTCCACATTATCTAATTTCTATATACAATCAGTCTTGATCAGGTTAGGCTGATAGGAAAAATGAAAACCCATGCAAACTGATAGATTTTATTTCATTGTTGGTGTTAATACTCAGGATGAACAGTAGCTGTGCTTGGTGCATCTCTTGCCATTGCTGTACATCATCACCGCTGTTATTTTCATGCACTCCATCAAGCTCTTGGATATTTTAGCATCTTACATGGATTCATGGTTTTAATACTTTCTCTTTTTTTATTTAACAGAGAGTTTTCCTTTGGCATGGGATTAGATTCTGATTAGGAAACTCCTATTATCAATAAAAATGCTGTTTGAAATTATACAGGTTTGAGATCAGGCCAATTAATAGGTAGCATTGCCTTTGGTCCTACAGCCAATTGACTTTCTATTATTGTCTTAAGCAGATTGTGCTTGTCAGTGTCTAAAACCTAAACTATTGATTGTTTAATTTTCTTTCTTACAACTTGCTATTTAAATAAGTGCAGTAATCCATGGGGGTGTGGAGGGGAAATCAGGGAAGAAATATACCTACTTAATGTAAGTTACAAATTTGTTCCTTCTACAAGTAAAATAATTGGTACAGTGGCATTTGATAGTTGATGGTAATTTCTAGTAATAAAAATAGAGCTAATTTCCTAAGTAATGCATCGACTTATTAATGATATTTAATGGGTTTCTTTCTATTTTTATTGCTGTTGTAAATTAATTAGTTTGCTAACTTATTTCCAAATGTCTTAATTAAAGTACTTAATAGTAAGCACAAGTAAATTACAAGACATTGTTTTACTTAGCAGTGTTTGATTTACCAATTCTAAGTAACTTCTTAAGTAAGGAGCATGAAGTTCAAATGCTTCTAAAACATGTTAAAGGTTTAATGATGCTCTGAGGCTGTTAAAGTGGTTATTTCAGACACTCACCGTGTCCAAGAGAAAGCACTTAGCTATAAGGTTTTCAAGCTTAGTAGGCAACATAAAAAACATATTTATTTCGAAGTGAGGAGAGAATGTGTGTTGTTGATTTCTTAAGTTAATGCTTCTGTCCATTCAGCAATAGCTTTTTCAGGAGATACTATAAGTACATAAAAATACGCTCATTACCTTTGAAGCTGGTAAGTAGTTCTGTAATGATCCTTTAGCTGTAACACTCATGCAAATTTCTGAAAGTTGAAGTTAAGGTTATACTAAAAGCAAAAGCATTGATCCAGAGCAAAGAAATTGTCAAAAGAGAGAGGTTTTGTATACCTAAAGGTGATTTTACTTGGAAAAGAGATAGTGAGGGAAGAGTGAAGATTACAGGCTTGAAACATGTATGAAGAACTATGATTTTTCCATGATTCTTTTTGATAAATAGCAACAGACTTATGAATTGACTTAGTAAATCAATACTTTTTTTTTTTTTCAAACAAGATTACTTGTGTATCTAAATCATTAGTAAAATTAATTATGTATTTGTGAATTCATACAGTAACTGAATATTTATCATTTTTCCATATATACTTTCTGCATTTTGTCTTATAAATTAACTGTCAGGATGTTGTGGTTAACTGAATTCAGGGAGATACCAGTGAGAATCTTTCAAAAATGAGTTCTTGATGCTTTCTACTGGAATACTACCT